CTGTTTGAAATCTCTGGGTTTGTCTTGTGAATCATGTTTACACACCTAATAGTGCTTACATTACGTGGAGCCCCACGGCACCCTTTATCTCAGGGCACCCCAGCATGCTGTGACACCCTGGTTGAGTCATTGGTTTTAAATGGCATTTTTACCTGTGCACACATGCAAATTTGTACTCTTTCATACTATCTAATGAAGTAGACCATTGCCTGCAAAAGCCATCCTGTATATGGTGCCACCCTGTGCTTCCTTCAGATCTGTAATCTGTGTTTGAGTTTCATCTCATTTGCTGTAAATGTATTTGTTAGAATTTATCGTACTTTGTTTTATTGTGTTAACATGTTCTAATACTTCTTACTCTAATTGAGAGAGCTCCATATTGGGAGTGAAACTCAAGCTCACTTTTAATAAACCAGTTTTCTGCCAATGGAAAAATTTTGTCAAAATAGATTAGCTATTTTTTATATACTAGATTCATTTAATGTGTCTGGTCTGCTGGAATAAACTGTGAAGACATTGGAGAGATGCTTGTATCACATTGCAGAACTACCTGAAAACTATACAGTATAACCTCGTGAATCCGGCATGCTCAGGACTGAGCACCTGCCAGATATCTGAAAATGCTGGATTTTTGAAATCAGAGCAACAGCCGGTCATGGAGCAGCTGGATGTGTGGAGGGGTGGGGAGGAGGTAGCATTGGGTGGTCCCGGAGCAGCCACATGCAGTGCAGGGTGGTTAATGGTGGCAGCAGCTGCCACATGCGAGCTTTCCCCTCTGTGTCCAGGGGGCGCAGAGGGGAGCGGCAGCTGGTCCCAGAGCAGCCACTCCAGTGCCGGATTTCTGAGATCTGGATTCATGACATTTTACTGTATGTAAAATATGTTAAACAAGTCTGACTTTAAGACTAACGCTTTTGAGGATCCTTTTTTATAATGTAATTGCTTCATAAAGTTTTTCTCAAAGAAGGGCTGATCATTTGCTAACTTATTGAAACTTTTCTCCAACTTCATAATAAAGATATATAAAGGCTTTTATCATGAATTGTTCTTTAGAAGCTACATTTGACTTAATTTTAAGTTAAAGCAAGTTATTCCAATATACTACTCTATTTCTCTCCATGTCTTAACTTCTGGTAGTACTTTAGCGTATTTTAATACTGTTTTAACTGTGCTAGTAGTCATAGTGTCTCCAGTTTGATAAATTCTAGCTATTTAAGGTCTGCCACTCCTTTTTTATGTAATTCTAGTTTGTGTTGGTCACTGTACTCCCTTTATCACCTTAGCCATCTGAGGACTTTTTAGCAGCATAGTAAGTAATGCTACTAACTTCTTTGTATATTTTTTTTCCTTGCCCTGGGTAGAGAATTGCATACAATGGAGTGCTCTGCTTTGTAGAGTTTTGTTTGGATCCTTGTTTAAATGAATGTGCAGTTGGGTGGTTAGGTTGGAAGAAGTAAAGTCAAAAGTGTGCTATCCACTTGAAGCAGAAGATGGCGTTACCTGTGATGGTCTTTGGTTCCTGTAAGAGTTAATTGCGTAGTTGGACTAGCAGCTAAAGAAGCCAGCTTCTTAACGTTGAACTTTCCATGCTAAAGGACAAGGACACATTGTTCAAGCACAACACATTTACAAACGTGACATTTGGTGGTATTTTTAAATATATTTGAACCAGGTTATTAAGTGCCTTAAATTTGACCCTATTCCATTATAAGCTAATATAGGAAGAGGGGTAGAGGTTTGTGATGCGTGGTAATTTGCATAAGGGAGGGTACTTGGAATTAATATCTAGGTATGCTCTATTGGAAAAACTGATCCTAATAAAATGTCAGCTTGAAAGGTACATTATTTTAAGAAAAAAGTAAAAAAATATTGGCCGTGAGTCATTTATATTTAGATGCACATCTTTGTTTTTCAAATGTTTCCTTTCTACTCTATGTGCAACAATTACATGCCAGAAATGGAAATAGCATAATAGGTGAATCAATCTCTCTTTCTTTACCCTCCGCCCCCCCACCCCCAATATTGTAGAGCAATAGTCATTTAAAAGTGTGGGTGTTCATGTTGACTGTCTTTTATATGAAAAAAGCTTTACCTTATTAAGAAGAAAATCAGTCTGACTTGAGGCAAAAAGTATTCTGAAGTCTTTATGTAAATTAAGCTTGTTTACCTCCGCTGCTGTAACACTGATTTGATTTTTTTTTAAGAGTAAAACTTTTATTTTATTTTTAGTTGAAGTACAAAGATCCTATTTAGCTTGCAACAACAGAATCAAATTCCAAGTATTGATCTAACTTTTTTTTTTATACTTTGGATGTTATAGAATAGATTACAGCTAATTAATCTAAGCTATTTTGTCTGTTTTCCAAATCTTTAGGCTACTCAATTTTGTGTTCCAAAAATCTGAAAAGAAAGCAGTTTGTGGAAGGCACAAATATCTTTTCAGGGAAGTGTCACAAAAGATGGATTTTTTTCCCCCAGTTCCACTCAGTTGCGCAACTCCTATTACACAGAATTTCAGTCGGTCCAAGAGGCATCACTTCAAAGACTTGTTGAGGAGCAAGATTTGCTCTTGATCTTTTATGAGCAAGCTGACAGTTTGTTTGTGGTATGCTGCTGGGTTTTTTTCTTATTTTTGCAGGCTCTAAACAGAGAAAGAACAGTCATTCTTTGCTGGACTGCATCAGTCTTGCAAATGAAATAAGTTCTGCCATGAGTAAGATAAAATGCTAGCAGTTGTGGTGACAGAGTAGCTTATGTGT